CCCCAAAACCCCAAAACCCCAAAACCCCACGGTGATTCAGACTAGTTGAATTTTATTTTATTCTTAGAAGTTTAACCAATCTACATCAATCTGATAAAAGTAAAATTCCTCTTTTCAACATTTCCATTTTTGGCATTTACTTTGAATGATCATAAATTTCAACATGTCCAAATCCATGACCCTCCAAAATCTCCTCCACATCACTCTTCTCCATTCCACACTCAAACATATCAATCCACTCCAAATTCCTCCTAAAATCCTCCTCTTTCGCAAGCCCAGTCACCAGATTCTCAAAGTTGGACTCATTGTTGTCCCAGTCACAGTACGAAGAGCCTCCTCACCCATATAAGCTTAGCCCATACATCGTACTTTCAGCAAGGCTTCCTCCGAAGTCAGGAACAGAAGAGAGATCAAGTTTGCACCACTTAAACCCAAACCATTCTTTATGCCTGTTGGCAGAGAAGAGAGAGACGAGTTGGTCCTGAGAGACTTCAAAATTATAAATATACAAATGCCCAATGACTCTCTTGCTCGCTTCCTTCAATTCATCCAAATAGAAGGACAAGGAAGAACTCAAGGAAGAGTGACAGTTAAAAATGGAGCACTTCCACTTCTCTGAAGAAATGATTGGCCAAGAAAGTCTTTACTTCTTGGCAATCTAAAGGAATGTTGTCAAGGTCAAGTCTATCTATGCCTGGCATTCTCCTGGTCAGGGATGATAGAAATCCCATGTGCTTTGGATTATTAAGGCTAAGGTCTAGTCTAGTTCTAGGCCCAATCTGTATGTCCTCTCCAGTGGTAATTTTGTAGAGGAGATTGAAGTAAGAGCACTCAGAGAGATTCAGTTTAGAGAGTAGTGACTCCTTCATCTGCTCATAGTCTTCTTCTTTAGCTTTGTTCTCTTCAACAAGTTTATCATTCCTCATTTCAGTCTTCCTAATGTCTTTCTGAAGAGACTTAACTCTGTCTTTAAGACCACAAATTTCCTTGGTAAGATCTTCGATGCTGGCTTGATATGAAGCTTGTTCTTCTCTTAGCTTCATTTTTAAAGTTCTCTTCCTTTGTTTAGAGTCTCCATGATACTCCTGTAGCTTTATTATCTTCTCGCCATCGCCTTTATTTTCTTCTTCAAAAGAAGTTAAACTTGATTCGAGTCCATGCGCTTTTTGTTTAAATTCCTCATATTCGTCACAAAGCAAGTTGTATCTAGTTATCAGTTCTCTCTTCGCTCTTTTTAAGGATTTTTTCTCTTCTTTATATTCCTGGATCTTTAGCCTTAGTTCATCAACTTCTTGTTGATGTCTTCGGTCTATGTCATGCCTAAATTCTTTGAACTTCTGAAACATTGTATCAAATGTGGCATTATACTTGCGTTTTAACTCCATTTCAACAAGCTCAGAGCTCTTCAAAGATTCACCCTTGACTGTTGAAAGCGATTGACTCCAAGCTCTAGCCACCAAGAACTCAATATAAAGCGGGTCTTGTTGCAAGACATCTTTAACCTTCAAAGTTTTATTTGTGCAGTTTTAAGAACTTGTAATACTTGTAGGCTTCTTGGGCTTTCTTTAATTCATCAAAGATAAGCTTTAGCTCTTCTCTCACAGTTGTGCTTAAGGCATCATGATCTGGGAGAATTCTTCCTTTATTCAGCATTTGGGTGAAGGCAAGAAAGTCTTTTCATCAGATTTCGATTGTTTCCATGCTCATCTCAATTATAGAATCATCAACAAGAGGGACTGGGTCATCATCAGGATATTGTGTAAGACTGTCTTGTTGACAAAGGTAGAGTTTCTTTTTAGGCAAGTAGCATACAGAAATCTCACAGCATGTTCCGTGCTGACATTTTGGGAATTTCATTTAAAAATCTTAAAAATAAAAATTAATAAGCTGTTTTTAATGTCATCAATATCTACAGACCATCTGGGGTTTTGGGGTTTTGGGGTTTTGGGG